CTTTCGACGTAAAGGTGATGCACGTGTTTCCCGAACCAGCCTTCCTCTCGTTCGACTGCGTCTTGACATCAAAGATCTCGAATTGGCAAAGGCCCTGCGTGACCCCTCCGTCTTTAAACGGGCGAGAGACGAAGAAAAGGTTAATGTAAGCACATTATTGGATAACATTCATGCTGAAGGAATTCCAGAGGAGCGCTGGGTGGCTCTTGGCAAACACCTTTGTGGTGCCTGTACAGACTTTGCTCTCTCATGCATCACATCGCCCAATCTTTGCACAGAGGGTCGTGCATCCGTTATTGCCGTGGTCTTTGCCACATGCTGCCATCACCTCTGTGAGTTGCGGGACCTCAATGCATTAGCATCCACGGAAGAAGACCAGCAGGCAATCTTGCGTTTGCCAGGCACAGAATACACCATTTCCGCTGCAGAGTTTGCAGCGATAGCATCTATGTCCTCCTGGGCCGTCAGTGGGACGGCTGTTGACAAGGAACGTCAAGCTACAGGGGTTTGTTGTAAGCGTGTCATTGATGCTCTACGGATTCAATACCTCAAACAAAATGGATATCGTTCCGCTTACCTTTGCCAGTACATTGAAAAAGGAATTACAGAAGAGAATGTCACCATCGTTGCCTTTCGGTAAATTATGCTTATTTTAAATTCTTTTGGAATAACCAGCATGAACCACTCTAATAAGGAACGTCACACTCCCATATAATAAAGCAATGTTATATATTACCGGCGTCTAAAAATGGAAATAAATATTACGTATCTTTTTTACTTCTTTCAATTTACACCCCATGAAAGACCCATAAATTCCACTCAACATACTGCTTTTTGCGACCTTTCCGTTTTCTCTCTCCCACAAGGACGCAATAAGGATGCAATTCTCAGACAAATGGATGACCTCTGTTGCCGGTGTCTGGTTTCTCCTGGTGCTGTTTGCAGTTTCTCGCATTCAAGAGATCGAAACCAACGTTGGTGCCTACTTGGAGGATGACTTCGCCGCCAACTCTTCCCAGCAGCCCCAGTTACTCCCCCGTACCACTGACGGGGAGGCACTGCGATACGTTCCCCGCGATGTCGTGGACACGTGGAAGAAGCGAGACTTTCTCATTGTTCTTGGTGTTCTTTCTGTGGATGTGGAGGCGAGGCAGCGGCGCCGCCACCTGCAGCGGTCGACGTGCTGGCGGTTCCCCGGAGTGGCGACGAGGGCGAACAGCTTCACCGGTGCGATGCTCGTGCTGTACGTCCTTGCGCGGCACCCGTCGCACGGCTACAACTACTCTGCCGCGCTGCTGGAGGAGGCGGCGCAGTGGCACGACGTCCTTACAACCTCCATTGATGAGGGCCGCGTGACGACGAACAAAACCGTTGCTGGCCCCGGCTTTTGGGGCCGGGAGGCTGAGATTGGCATGAGCCGCAAGACATACTTTTTGTTTGACTTTGCCTTGCGTCTGTTCCCCACGGTCCCGTACATTGCGAAGGGTGACGACGACATGTTCCTTCGCGTGCCGCAGTACCTTGCCGACCTGCGCACACTCCCGCGCCGAAAGACATACTGGGGTGTTTTTTTGAGGTATTATCGCCGCAGGTTCTTAAAGTACATGGGTGGAATGTGCGCGACGCTTGCGAGGGACGTGGCGGAGAAGTTTGTGTCGTACAAGCCGTTGCAGCGTCTGGTGCGTTTGCCGTACAGCAAGGAGAGGGAACCGGAGTTTCTGAGCCTGAACATGGATCACGAGGATGTGATGGTTGGTCGTGTTCTGCACGAGATGCGGTACAAGGACGTGGTCTTCTTTTCTGAAAGGCCATGCCGCTTTCATGACGTGCACGGTGGCTTTGGGGCAAGGAATGTCACTGAGAGTTCTGTTGTTGTGCACCATGTTTGGGAGACTGACTACGAAACATTGATGCAGCGCTTTGGGAATGACACTTCTCCTGCGCCCAAGAGTTTCAGATGTAGCAAAGGATGGTACAATTTTGATTGTTAGAAGTAACGATTATTTTGATCTTTGTTTGTGGAAGCGTGTGAAATGAGTTGTTGTGAGGGTACTGGCTGCCCATAGTAATGTATATCCTGATAGGACGAAGATGTTCTGTGCGTTTTTTACTTTATCCTTGGTTGGCCGCGATTCTAGGAATCGGGGAACCGAAAACCACCAGACGTACTTTAGTTGTTGTTTTTTATTTTGTTTTTCCGTCTTTTTTTTTGCTTCTTGGTTGGCGGCGGTGCCATGTGTGGGGTGTGCCTCTCTGGACAGGTGATTGAGTCCGCATGCAGAGCCGTGCGCGTTTGTTTTTGTTTTTGTGACGCTGTGGGGCTGCCGGAATGTTTGGTGTCACGGTTGTGTGTGTGCCGTGCTTTCGGTGTCTGCTCCCCTTTTTTCCATTGTGGCTGGGCAATACACCGCACTCACAATCGTCGCTGCACCGCGCCCCGTTGCCCATCTCCCCGTTTTTTCTCTCCCACAAGGACGCAATAAGGATGCAATTCTCAGACAAATGGATGGCCTCGGTTGCCGGTGTCTGGTTTCTCCTGGTGCTGTTTGCAGTTTCTCGCATTCAAGAGATCGAAACCAACGTTGGTGCCTACTTGGAGGATGACTTCACCGCCAACTCTTCCCAGCAGCCCCAGTTACTCCCCCGTACCACTGACGGGGAGGCACTGCGATACGTTCCCCGCGATGTCGTGGACGCGTGGAAGAAGCGAGACTTTCTCATTGTTCTTGGTGTTCTTTCTGTGGATGTGGAGGCGAGGCAGCGGCGCCGCCACCTGCAGCGGTCGACGTGCTGGCGGTTCCCCGGAGTGGCGACGAGGGCGAACAGCTTCACCGGTGCGATGCTCGTGCTGTACGTCCTTGCGCGGCACCCGTCGCACGGCTACAACTACTCTGCCGCGCTGCTGGAGGAGGCGGCGCAGTGGCACGACGTCATTACAACCTCCATTGATGAGGGCCGTGTGACGACGAACAAAACCGTTGCTGGCTCCGGCTTTTGGGGCCGGGAGGCTGAGATTGGCATGAGCCGCAAGACATACTTTTTGTTTGACTTTGCCTTGCGTCTGTTCCCCACGGTCCCGTACATTGCGAAGGGTGACGACGACATGTTCCTTCGCGTGCCGCAGTACCTTGCCGACCTGCGCACACTCCCGCGTCACAAGACATACTGGGGTGTTTTTATTGTACATCGTCCTGGTGATCGCTTTAAGTTTATGAATGGATTTTGTGCGACGCTTGCGAGGGACGTGGCGGAGAAGTTTGTGTCGTACAAGCCGTTGCAGCGTCTGGTGCGTTTGCCGTACAGCAAGGAGAGGGAACCGGAGTTTCTGAGCCTGAACATGGATCACGAGGATGTGATGGTTGGCCGTGCTCTGCACGAGATGCGGTACAAGGACGTGGCCTTCTTTTCTGAAGGGCCATGCCGCTTTCATGACGTGCACGAAGGCTTTAGGGTAAGGAATGTCACTGAGAGTTCTGTTGTTGTGCACCATGTTTGGGAGAGTGAATACGAAACATTGATGCAGCGATTTGGGAATGACACTTCTCCTGCGTCCAAGCGTTTCAGGTGTAGCAAAGGAAGATACATTTTTGATTGTTGAAATTAATAAATACTTTAGTATTAAATATTGTAGAATGGAGTTGGGCACACACGGTGTTCGCTCTGTCGCAATTACTTAGCGGCGATCCGAGCGCGTGGTAAGCGGCACATTTCAGTGGAGGCACTTCAATGCCTGTGTAGGTGCTTTGGGTGCTTGCTGTGGTGCCGGCCTAACAACCCCCGTAAATATTTAAATTATTCTCTTTTTTTCAGTGTTTGTTAACGTGATGATTTTTGTTTGACGCTGCGGCGCAGGTTGGTTCCTATTGCCGTGTCCGCGTTCCTTGTGGTGCCTCCGTGGCCGTTGCGTGTGCGGCATCTCTACACCCGCCTTCTCGGTGGGGTTGGTGGCGGTGCCATGTGTGGGGTGTGCCTCTGTGGACAGGTGCTTGAGTCCGCATGCAGAGCCGTGCGCGTTTCTGGTGTTATTAGTTGTGGTGTGGCTTTTTCTTTTGAGCTTTTTTTTTTGTTTAGTGTTTTTTTTTTAATGTTTGTGTTGTCGCATGGATTTGTTATTATTATTTTGGTTGGTGAATAAGAGCTTTGCGTTGCAGGTCGATTTTTTTATATTATTTTTGCTTTGTAGTGGGTTGTTTTTTTTTTTTTTTTTTTTTTTTTTCCGTGGGAGGATGGCTTTGTGTTGGCTGTTGGAATGAAGTTTTTTTTTTCTGCTTTTTATTCTATTTGCACTTTTTTTTGTTGTCTCTGTCTGTCTGTGTGTCTCTCTCTCTCTCTGTGTGTGTGTGTGTGGGGTTATGTTTGGGATGGCGGCGGAAGGATGGGGTTGAATTATACGAGTAAGGCTCATCAGGCCGAACAGGAGGCGTCGAAGACTCCTGAAAGAGGAGAAGTGAGTGCGGGATTTCCACTGGGCAATGTCTTTGCGTTGCAGGAACCGAAGCACGCCCTGGCTGGTTTATCCGGTGCCGCGCAGAATCTTGTCGTTGGCGTGGGCGTTGGCCTTGGAAGCCTGTTGGCACTTCCGGTCGTGAATGGGCATAGGGACGGAGCGAAGGGGGTTGCTAAGGGTGTCGCCATGGGTGTTGCTGCTTTGGTTGGCATGACAACCTATGGCGTGGCGACAGGGGCGAGGCAGTTTGCGAAGGGTGTGTACAACACAAAAGAAGCGGTTGTAGAGGCGGCAAGGGGCGAGCGTTACTGGGACAGTCAGCAGGGCCGTTGGGTGGACGTGCATCTCGATTCTGCCTTTGCCGAGCTGCCGGCGGGCGATGAGGACCTTTTCACGCAGGCACGCGAGGCGTTTGGGAAGATGTTCACGGGGATATCTTCCAATACAACCCATGCCAGTGAGGGAGCGGCAGCGGCGCCCTTGAAGGACTATTATGCCATCATGGGCGTTCAAAGGACGGCGACAGCGGCGGAGATTCGCAGTGCGTTTCATCGCAAGGCCCTTGAGATGCACCCCGATAAGAATCCGAACAATGCAGAGGCCACCTTGCGCTTTCAGGAGGTTCTTGAGGCGAATAATATTCTATCCGATGAGGGGCGCCGTGCCCACTACGACAAGTACGGTTCTGCGGATTCCATCCTTGACCAAAACTCATCGTACATGCAGTTTGAGGAGGCACTCGGTGCCAACTTTATGGAGATGTTTGTGGGACGACTGTCTTATGCGCTTTATTTTATTCCCAATACGTTTTTAACGGATGGACTGAAGAAGGAATTTCAGCGGAGGCGGACACTACGTTTAGCACAGCGTCTTATTTGTATTGTGGACGACGAAGGAAGATTAGAAGCCGTCTTGCCTGCGATACGTGACGCCGTTTCTACACGAATGGGACCGAAGTTGATGTCAATTGTGGCCCAACAATACATTGCTGCTGCCCGTCAGCACCTGTCTGGCAGTTTATTTCTTCGGCAATTAGATATATTTGCAACGTCTAAATGGTCGAGACTTGTACAAATGGCAGATGTAACCGCAGTGGGGATACCAGCGGCGCTTAAAGCGGCACGAAGTACCTTGAAGGAAGATGATCAAGTAGATATTTTAGTGACACTGTGTGAGGGGGATGTGCAGCGGACCGTTTTGCGTGCATCGCGTCTTATTTTGTATGATACCTCGGTTACATCGGAGAAGAGGAGGAAACGAGCCGAAAATCTGTCGATACTAGGGAAAATGGTGGAGGGAGTCTGCCGCATGGCTCGCTCAAGTGAATGAAATGTCAAAAAAATCATTGCCTTTTTTTTCTTTTTTTTTGTTACTTGTTTTGGTTTTTTAACCATCACACACACCTTCTCTGTTCCTGCATGTAGTAATGGGCCATTGATATAAGGGCTTTTCATTTTCAGTTTTTCCTTATATGGCGTTTTTTTTTTTTTTTTTTTTTATTATTGGCTAGTGTTTTGGACGAAGGATGCATGTGTGCCTAATTCATTTATTTATTTATTTGAATTTTTGTGTGTGTGGACAATGAATCGTGGTCTCCGCATATACATCCATGCATGTATGGTGCTCTCTCTCTCTCTCTCTCCACATATATATATATATATGTCTGTGTATTGCTATGCAGGTTGTGCAAACATGTTATTGTGGCTTTTTTTCTTTTTTCTTCTTTTTTTCTTTTGCTTTTATGCACGTTGTTGGTAAATTTTTTTCTTTGGGGGTTTGGTGTAGAAAGAGAAGGGGTGTATAAAGTAGGAACAGGCGTTGCAGTGTGATTGCGGTGCCTGTTTTTTGCTTCTTCTTCTTTTTTTTTTTTTGTGTGTGTGTGTGTTCTGGTGTTATTCAAATATATAAATATATATATATTTGGGTATTTTTTTATTATTTTGTTTGTGTCTTCCTGCATAAATGAAAGAGGAGGACGCGGCACCACTTCAGCCCCTTCAAGAGCCTCACTCGGCGTGGAAGAGGGCCCTCGATTTAAAATCGCTGAACACCGGCAGGCAGAGGCTTCCAGGCGCCCCCAACGGCACGACTCTCGTGGGTTGGACCACAGAAACTTTGCCGCCTGGTGGCGAAAAAGACGCCGCCGCGAGTGGTGGCCGTGGGGGAAATGTACCGCGTGGTACGTTGGGCGGGACGCATGCGACGGATGTCCAGCAGAGTGCGTTGGAGTTTCTTCAAGAAATGTACGGCATGAAGCCGTTAGATGCCCCCGTCATTTCCAAAGGGATCCATGCCTCGGAGCGCCAGAAGAGGTGGGGTGGGCCGGTGCTGTTTCAACCGTCCAGGCTTACAAACAATCAAAGTCCGACAAAAAGGGAAAGCGCGGTACTGCGAAGGGTCAAATCACACCACGGAACCGGGGCTATCAGGGACCCTCTTCTGCGGCGTTTGTCCAGCCGAAGGACTCTCTCCCAGGATCATTTGGGTACGATCGTGGATCATATTTTTCAAGGATACATGCAGACGAATTTGAGGGCTAAAAAACCGCTGCTGGCGCCTGTCACGAAGGCCGAGACAGATGATTCCGTCTCTCTGTTTGTGAGCAATGCTCTGGACAGTTTTTTGGTCAGAGAGGCCTCCTTCTCGCTCCGAGATGCTCAGTCTATGAATTCGTTTCTTACCTTAGGTGGAGACTGCAACTTTTCGAAGCTGCTCTCCTTCCAAGGGCAAAGCCAATTTTTGGACGATGACGATCCGAGTGAGTTACTTACGAAACCGGTCTTTGAGGGAAGAATGGCATTGTTTGCCCCTGTGGAATCGCAGGCTGAAGTCAGTGTGAGCGGGCCACTGCCGGAGGGGTCATTGGCTTTTGTAGCGGGAGTGGAGGCTCCCTGCCCCTCTCCTGTTAGTCTGCAGTCTACACTGGAAACCGAAACCCCACCGGTGGCTACGCGAGGAGCCAAACGAATTACAGGACAGCCGTGCTTGAACTTTTCGCGAGAGATGTCACTTAACTCCGATCAAATCCAAGTAAAACCTCCTGACATTTTGAGAAACAATAAGACTGGAGATGTCCCCACGAATATTCCGAAAAACGAGGGAGATAATGAGACCAACCCAGAAAATTGTGTCTTTCCAACGTCTTCCGGTGCATGCTTACTTCCTTGCTACTCGAATGCAATAAAGTTTGGTCATTTAGTGGCGCCCAGGAATAAAGGGATTGAGCAGC